CCCCCCCCATGCCCTCCCACTCCCCCAACGCCATTGCTGGGTTTTTTGCTTAACTAACTGACAGTTCCTATCAGCTGCCTAAATTCTAGTCCCTTGCTCCTCCACGCCCTCCACAATCTCACAGCAAAACTTTCTCAAATGAAGGTCTGACCCTGTCCACCAGTGCAGCTCACTCAGTGCAGCTCATTACAGCCCTCAGCCTCAGTCAACACCAGCCGACTGTGTCATCCTCATCTATAACTCGTGTCTCCTCAAAAAAGCTGTAGGAAACTGTCTGCCTATGTGAGGAGGCCCGAGACGCATGATAAATGGCATTTTCAGTGAATAAAGTCAGAAAGAATGAAGGCTGCAGAATGGATAAGAAAACAAAACCCATCAATATGCTGCCTACAAGAGATACACCTTAGAGATGAAGACAAAAATACACTAAAAATCAAAGGTTGGAAAAAGATATATCAAGCAAATGGCAAGTGGAAGAGAGCAGGAGTGGAAATATTAATTTCTGATCAAATTGACTTTAAGACAAAAACCACCATACAAGACAAGGAGGACATCACATAATGATTAAAGGATCAATTGAACATGAAGATATAAGCATAATAAATATCTATGGACCCAATGAAAAGGCCCCAAAATACATAATTCAGACTTTAAAAGAGTTTAAAAGCAAAACAGATGATTCTACTCTAATAGTGGGAGATTTTAATACACCACTTTCTTTGAAAGATAGAACAACTGGAAAGAAACTCAATAAAGACGCAGAAGAGCTAAACAATACAATCCACCAACTTGGCCTTATAGACATCTACAGAGCACTTCAGCCAATAGCAGCAGAGTATACATTTTTCTCCAGTGTACATGGAACATTTTCCATGATAGACCATACGTTAGGCCATAGAGCAAGTGTTAATAAATTTAAATACTTTGAAATACTGCAAATCATCTTCTCAGATCATAATGCTATCAAACTAGAAATCAACAATAGGAAGATCAACAGAAAAAGAGTAAACAATGGAAACTGAACAGTACCCTCCTAGAGAAAGACTGGGTAAGAAAAGAAATAAAAATAGAAATTCAAAAATTCCTTGAATCAAACGAGACTGAAAACACAACATACCAAAATCTTTGGGACACAGCAAAAGCAGTGATCAGAGGCCAATTTATAGATATACAAGCACACATCAAAAAAGGAGAAAGGGCCAAAATCAACACTTTAAACCAACATCTCCAACAATTACCAAAAGAACAGGAAGAAAAGCCCTCAGTCACCAGAAGAAAGGAAATAATCAAGAATCCAGCAGAAATCAATGAAACAGAAAATAGAAGGGCACAAGAAAAAAATCAACAGGACCAGAAGTTGTTTTTTTGAAAAGATTAATAAAATTGACAAACCACTGGCAAATTTAACAAAGGAAAAGAGGGAGAGATTACAAATAACACAAATAAGAAACAAAATGGGTGACATCACCACAGAACCAACTGAAATAAAAAGGATAGTATCAGAATACTATAAAGAACTGGAATCCAACAAATTTGAAAATCTGGAAGAGGTGGACAGATTTCTAGAAACACACCACTTACCTAAACTAAAACAGACTGATGTGGAAAAGTTGCACAGGTCCATCACAAAAGAAGAAATTGAACAGGTCATCAAAAAATTACCAACTAAAAAAAGTCCTGGCCCAGA